TTTTGGGTCTTTTGAGAACTTTGATAACTTGAATAAGTTTATGAATTTGTTGTTATTTATTAGATTGTTTCTGAATAAGAATTCTTAAGTACAGATAAGCTTCAAGAACCTTTATCTATTTAGGTCGAGTTTGGTCTTTATCTTCTAATTGTCAAAGAATTTTGATTAATTGGTCTTTCCAAGTTCTACCAATAAAAGGGTTAGAATGATTATGAGGTAAAGGAGTAAGTGATTAGATAAATTTATCTCAAACTTTTTGAAAAATTTTTGTTTTTGGCTCTATTTCAAGAAAAAAAATTGTTTAAAATTTAGTATGAGGTTTACTTCTGGTTCTGTATTAAGTGAAGGGTTGTCTGGAGTTGAATCGATTTCTGGGTCTTCAGTTAAGATATTATCTAAGAAAGCTTTATGTTAACGGAATTAGTTGAAGTATCTACTGTGATATTTATTAGAAAAGTAATATTACTAGTATCGTTGAGGGTTATTAGAGTTCCACAGAAAAATGTTGAAAGAACAAATTTTCAAATTGTTCTGGGTAGCAGGATCCTGTTTTCAAATAGTTAGTATTTCAAAATTCAGTTTAGTTTAATTTAGATTTAGGTTTAAGTTCAATTGAACCTGAACTAAACTTTAAATTTTGCAGATCTTTGAACCTGAACCTAAACTGAACTTTAAATTTACGAACTTGAACTGAACCTGAACTTAAAGTTTTGGTTTAGTTCAAGTTCAGTTCAAGTTCATAAACATGTTCAAATTCATGAATTATATATATATTTTATATATTGTCAAAATAATCTGCCTCCAATAAGGGAGCACCAGAAATCAGCTGATTTTTTAGAGAAAAGAGGGGTAAAAAAAATTATCAGGTATATAGTTTTAGCCAATTAAAATTTTTTATTTAAAATCAGATAGGGGGAGGGGAGTAGCCTCTTAATAAAAAAATATCAGCTAATAAATGGCCTTCCCCTAATAAGTTATTTTCTTTTTTTAAAAGAAAAACAAAAATTTCTTAAATTTAAAAATAAATTATTTATATAATCATCAGTAGTTACTCTATAGTAAAGTCAAAATTTTACTAAGTAAATCGATTATCTTATTAAGTAAAAGTTATTCAGAAGATCAAAATACATATATTTTGAAAGTTTCATCTAAATTGGATAACCTTTTATTAATACATTTTTGTATATTACGTTTGATAAATTTTTTAAAATTTTTTTAAAATTTATATTCATCGAATGTAAAAAGCAAAAGTTAATTATAAAAAGTTATTCAATTTATATAATAATTTTAAGATATATGTATTTTACTCTTATAAACAACTTTTACTTAATAAGGTAGATCGATTTACTTAGTAAAATTTTGACTTTACTATATAGTAATTACTGATAATTATATAAATAACTTATTTTTAGATCTAAGAAGTTTTTATATTTTTTTTCTAAAAAAAGAAAATAACTTAATATTGGAAGTAAATTATTTTTAACAATATATAATATATATATATATATTCCTATTTACTAATTATTCGCCCGTGATACTGCATATTAATATTTTACTAGATTTATTATCGGAAATCAATTTTCTAGTAAAATATCACTATTGCGTAATACTGTGAAATATCATACCAAAATTGTACTGCTTATTTATTAATTGGTTAATTTACTATCACATTATTGAAATCTAAAATAAAGTAAAAAGCATCATAATATTTATATTTCTTAATACCTTGTCATATTAAATAGTATTATAATTAAACTATTAAAGGTATTTATAACTATAATAAAATCTATTGAAAGTAAAAATTAATATTTTGAAATTGACAGTTGTTAAATATAGGTGCCTTTTCTTGAATATTATCAGGAGATGTATAAATAGGCAAATTTTGTAATTCGAGGTTGGTAATTTGAAAATTTCTTAATGGTCGTTTATTGAAATCTTGAATTAGTTGATTATTTGGAATTTCTTGGTTAGTTACATCACCATAAGTAGAAATAAGGTTCTGTAATGTATCCATTTTTTTGTTGATCATTAGGTATTTTATATTTTCGTACTGCATTAACACTTCGATGTCCTGTAATATTCATAATGACTTGTTCTTCAATATCTTTATCTTGTATTAATTGTGTAACTGTTTTTCGTCCAGAGTGGTTTGTTAAAAAGCTATCAACTTCAATACCGGTTTTATAAACAAGATCTTTCATAAATCCAGATAAGGAATTTCTACTGATATGTTGTTTGTGATATCAAATTCCAGTCTCTTTCCCTATTAAATTAAATATATTTAATTTTTTTTATTAATATTATAAAAAAACAACTTACGAATATAAATATATACATTTAGAATTTGTTTGTAAATAAAATCTCTGGTTAGCATCTAATGGTTTTTTTTCGAAATAAAGACGATAATCATAGCATGGTCCTCTAAAATTAGGTGAATCTGCTGGAATTGATACTTTTTGTGCTGCAC